CCGTGTGCCAGTTGAAAACATATCTAAATGTCTTGGGCTGTGAATCAGGGCAAGGCTGGATGCTTGATCTGAGCACTGTGTTCTAATCTTTCCAGGCAACCTTGGTGAATTCCAATGAAGGGGATTTGAAGAAGAGGTCACTGAGACCACCTTTGATCCCCCCAATACGCAAGGCAGGAAGTCTCCCTGTTGGCAGTGCTTCAGGGTCGGTGCAAAGCCCTCTCCAACTGGATTTCCAGGAGTCCCAGGAGATGAGGTAAGCCAAGGTGTCTGCTGCTCCAGGGTGTGGTTCACCTCGCCCTTGTCATCTCATGCAGTGACTTTCCAAAGTGTCCCATGTATTTAGGCAGACCCCTCTGTATTCAGCATTTTGCCCATCTATGAAGGTCCAGCACAATGTCAAACCCAACACTGATGGCCCCAGAGCAGAGGTGGTGGTGGGGAAGAGGAGTCAGGGCTTGGCTATTATTTCACCAGAGCTTGGCCAGTTCTATGTGACAACAGCAACTGAAAGCTTAAGGACAATTAATCAGCTTTCCATCTTGCTGTGCATCTTTATGTGTTGCCTTTCCTCTTTCATCAGTGACCATGCTAAGAAGGTTTGCCTCCTTTCATGGCACCCTCATTCCCTCCCTTCTCTTTCTACCTCCTCATTTGTTCCTTTGTCCTCCATTTTCTCCAGGCCAAAACCCAGCATCTGTAGCCAAGAGAAGAGCTCTGACCATGCAGGTAGGTACAGGGCATGTCTGTCCTAAAATGATCATTGGAACCTTGATTCAGAGGTGGCATTTGGAAAACTTGCTTCAAATCCGTTCGTTTGAACATTCCTTAAAATTTCTTTCAATTCCTTGATGGGCTCAGTGGACTCTCCCAAAGCCCAGTCACTGGGAGTGTTCTCTGGTGGTGCAGTGAAAATTCCTCCAGTGTGAGGTGTTCAATGGCAGGAGATGGAATGGTAACTTGGGGCCCTGGAAATGCACTGCAGGAAAAGAAAACATTCCTCTATATGCTGCACATGGCTTTCATCTCCCTGCATCCTTTCTAGAGTCAAAATTGGTAGAGCAAAGGAAGGCATTTAGCATGAAATGACAAATGTTCCCACTCCTTCCTCCTGCCCTTGAAGCAGAATACTTTTCCCTGGGGCAGTTTCTGAGCTGAACCCTTTGAGG